AAATTCCAATGGTAATGCAAGTAATGGTCGCTGGCTTCCCAGGCTGGCTGCTTCCTCGATGCTGCTTGCTGCTGCTTGCTGCTGCTGCTCCGCCCTGCCCCTGGGTTCACGTTGCTTTGCTTGATTAGTGACGCTGTTTACCTGTGGCATGATGCTCTGATGCTGCCTCTCTGTGTGCCTGTGTATTGTACGTGTGGTACAGGTTTGTGGAACGAATCTATAAACTGAAATCGCATGCTGCCACGGCCAGAGACCCTGAGGCTGTGTGTGTGTGTGTGTCTGTGTGGTATGTCTGTGTTTTATTATAGAGTTTTACAAATGGAAATTCCAACGCACAATTTTCGCAGCACTTTCCCCCCTGTGCTATGCCTCGTGCTGTGTCCTAAACGCCCACCGTTTTATCCTGTCTGCAATCCCGCCGTATCTTTGTCCTCTGCCTGTTGTCCGGCTGTCTGGCTTTTTGGGTTATTTACAAAACACGTTGCTGCAGCATTTAATTGAAATGCCATTAAATTTCCACTGATATGCGAGATGGTGGCCCTGGGGCTGCCAGCACATTCTCTTTCCTGCGCTGCCACATGCCACATACCACATCCACATGCAAATATCAGAGCGTAAAAGCAGATTAGAAAGTCCAGCGGGATACCCACAAGTGGCGGCTGGCTGCTGGCTTGGCCTCTTAAATGGTTAATGCGGGTGCAGCAGTCCCCAAAAGGTGTTTACGACAGGCTTTTAGGCAGCGTCGAGAGACCCTTCAATGGCCTTAAAGTGCCATTAATCAAGGCAGCACGAATCGGATCCCATGCGACACTATCAAACGCGGTTCGCCCCTCCGCCTGCTATAAATATTTCCTAACCAGAGAGGCAGTGGCAGCGACAGAGGCAGCTTGAAAGGTAAACAGACAAAGCCAACGACAGACAGACAGAGAGACAGACAGACAGACACATCAATTTGAAAGTTCTTTCATTCTTTTATTCTTTGGTTTAGAGAATTGAAAAGCGCAGCGCTTCAAATCCAAACGAAACAGCAGCGATCCAATCGTTCAGTCTTCGATCTTTTCAACCCATCGACGATGGGACTGCCTCTCTGTGAGTGGTGCTGGGGCTGTGGCAAGACGGGGCAGTCGGGGGGACGACGACGACGACGCATAGCTTAAAGTTCAATGACTGAAAAGGTGCGTTCTTCTGACTGCGGTTGTGTCGTTCTTCTTGTTGCTGCTGCTGCTGCTGTTGCTGATCTTGCTGTTGCCTAGAAATTCATCAAAGCTCCGGCAATAAGTTGGACTCCATTTATATTGGCCATTTGGTTTTGGTTCTCTGCGCCTGGCTAGCGAAAACGTGCAAAAATGCGGCCTGTGCTGCACGGCCCGGCCACGATCGGCAATCAATCTGCAGATTCCAGTCAGTCGCGAGGAGAGGCACGCAACGAGTAATCTTTTTTTCTCTCCTTCCTCCTTCTGCTGCTGGCTCCAGTACTGCTGCTGCTCTGCGTGTGTTTGTTGCCGTTGCCGTTGAACTTGTGGCCTTAAGTGGCTGCTCTGCTGCTACACTTGCACCAAGTTGGGTAAACAGCCGCCCAGCAGAGAAACAACAACAAAAAGCTGCCTTAAAAGTATTATCTAAAAGGCAGAGATACTCTATACACAGAGAGCAACAGAGAGTAAATATTATACAAGCCAGAGGCAAAGTTTGTCTGTGGAACTGAGGATATGGTCAGAACGTAGAGTCACTAAGAATAAGCCTTGGAACTAATCTAATATCTCTCTATGATTAACTAATCAGACAGTTCCATCAATAGCAGATAAAAACCCCGAAAGCTTCTCTGCTTGTGGATTTAAATTTAAAGAAAATATATCCGTTCGCTTATGGGAAATTTATACAATAAAACAAGCGTCATTCGAGGAACGTCCCCGAATATTTCCTATTTCCTATTGGAAGGGGTTTATTAAACATAATAAAATATATTACAAATATAAGAGAATCTCTCCTTTGAGCCCTCCTTCCTTCCTTTTGCATAAACTCTCAAATGCAGAGCTGGGACCGCGACTGGTATCCCGTGCTCCTTCGTGTTGTTTACATCCAGACGATGACAGACGCGTCTATTTATCTGTATCTCTGTATCTGGCGGTTCTTTTGCTTGGTTGGTTTACATTTCGGTTTTGCGCTTCGAGTGAGAGAAAAATGTTGGGAAAATAAACAAAAAAAAAAAAGAACGAAAAAATCCAGCAAGAATTCCAGCCGGAGGATGAGCGCGCACCGATCCCATCCGAACGGAGATGAACTGAAGTGGATTGGCCCCAAAAAGAAAAACAACGAAAAAAAAGGGGGTGCCGCCCCTGGGCAAACTTTGGGCTGCAACAATCAAATGCTCATCAGTGCACTTGAAAAATAATGCGTTTAAGACAAAAAGAATGAGATACAAACAGACAGACAGACACACATTTCTAGATACATAGCTACAGATACGAACGGGGCAGACAGCTAACGCACTATGTATCTGTATCTGTATTTTCCTTTTTTCTGTTTCTGTTTTTTGGTTTTTTTTTGGTATGTATCTTTCTTTTTTTTTGGCTGAGCATTTTCATTGCTGGTTTTATTTTTCGTTGGCTTGTTTGTTTAGTTTTGTGGCAGCACACACACACACACAGACAGACAGACAGACAGCCAGACAGACACACGCAATGGCAGCTAAATGTTGCAGGTGGGAACAGGTTTTGCGTTGTTCGGTGCTCGGATGCGGGCCATATCTCTCTTATGGTCTTTCGGTCTTTCGGTCTCTCTTGCCTCGCGCGCGCGTTATTTATGCCCCACTGTGGCTGTAATTACAAATTTTTGTTTCCTGCAAAAGCCTTTTGGGCATTTGTGTTGCTTGTATCTTTCGGGATGGGATGCCCACGCTCACATGTGGCACACACACACAGAGACGTGTGTGTGTGTACTACTGTATCTAAGTATTATTCTAAGTACAACGGGAGAAGAGGCGGCGCGAGTACAAAAAGCGCCCGCTGCGCATAAACATTGCTTGTTGCTTGATCAGTCCAGTCACGTAGCATATAGTAGTAGCATATAGCTGACAGTGCAACATGTTGGCAGATCGATTGATGGCTGGCTGGCTGGCTGGTTAGGTTGAGGGGCACAGCCCACAGAGAGAGAGAGGCAGCCAACGGTAACCGTTTTCTGCGGAAAGAATTGCAGGAGCCAGCGACCGGCTGTATCTCACGCATGGCTGCTCTTTGGCCACAGCTACAACCACTTCCAGCCCCCTTTTTCGGAACGGAACGGACTGGTGTGGCTGTGGCCCTGGCATGGTGGATGGTGGATTGGGTAGTTAACATTTGCCACAAATGGCGCGATGTAATGGCATTTCTAATATGGGCACATTAATGACTAGAGCAAACACACAGGTGAGATGGCAGGAGGGGGCGGGGCTTATGAAATTCCATTGCCATTTGCAAAATTAACAACCTTTATAGCCTCTTTGTGTTCGTGTTCTTTATCGAGCTTCAATACCTGAACAATTAGTGCGACATTTTGTGGCACAAGCAGAGGCAGCTGCCCCTGTGCCTTGAGCAGCTGACAAGCAGCGGCACGGCACACTCAGTGAGCTATGAAGAGGGGAAGACAGTGGCAAAGGTAAGCAAAGTCAGTTCTTGCAAAATGACAGCTGACAATGGATGGGCCACGCCACGACACGTACTCTGCCCGCTGCCACTCCTCGTGCAATCAAAAAACACAAAATGAAAATTGCTGCAGTCAGCGTCGGGCCAGTCGGGCGTCGAGATTTTCATGAAATTATTGAACATTTTCAAGTGAAAAAATATATAATTTGCCAGCGAAAAACGATAAAGTGCTGTGCACGGTGGAAAAAAACAAATGCTTACAGTAATGGAGAACAGATATTTGGGTTCATATACGTAGTTTGACAGCCACTGCATAACCTGTTGCTGTTGTGCCACACAAATCATTATGGGGGGGAGGGAGAGGCAGAAAGAGAGAGGGAGTGGGGCACATAAATGGCCATTCGTGTTAGCCACAATTTAACACAAGGTCGCGAAAAACAATAAGCCAAACCGACTCAAGACTGCTTATCTCTGCACACTGCACACTGCACTGCTCTGTACTGCTTTGCTCCGAACTGCTTTGCTGTGCTGCTGTGTGCTCCGCTGTAATTGTAGTTGTCGGAGCTGGCCAAAGGAACTAATTGTGTGAACAGGGAGGGGGCCATGGCGTGTTGGGCTCCACTCCCACTTCCATCTCTATCTACGCCCCACACCCACAAATGGGAGAACAAAGCGGAGGAGGCGACAAAATAAACAAGGTGTTAATTTCTACGTTTTCTCTGTGTGCCCGAGAGGCCTCTTTTTAAATATACCCTTTAAGTGGAGGGGGTACATACATATGTATGTATATACCGGAGAGGAGTTTAATTTTCCTCTGAGGATTGAGGAATGAAATTTAGTTATTCCAATTAAATTTACAATTGAAAACAATTTACAATTTAACTATGAATTTGGTTGCCATTTTCCACTGTATGCGTACTCCTGTATATATAATTATGCAGTGCAGGGTATTCAAAGCTTCGCCTTTGTCTCTTAGACTTTGTTTTTTTTTTTTGTTCTTTTTTTTTTCTTGCGTCCTCTTTGTGCCTGTGTGCAAATTGAATTCCCGACTGAGTTTTGCGAAAGCAGATAAGATTTCAGCACGTTTCATGCTACCGCCGCCTGTCCGCCACCCACACACAGAAGCAGCAGCACCGCCGCGCATACAGAGCCCCACCGAGAGGTGGGAGACAGAGAGAGAGAGAGAGATGACAAAAGATAAGCTCGCCTTTGATAACGCACTTGACTTTGCCATTCCCCCACGCCCTGCATACCCTTCGCCCGCTCACTCGCCATACCATGGCAATGAATGGGAATGTGGACAGTATTCATATTCATAATTGTATTCATTTAATTAAAGGAAACACTTTGAGGCTGGTGCAGCCATTCAGAAATACTTACGAACTGTGACCATTTTCGGATCGTAGGCACACACGCGCCGCTCCACGGCCGCTATCTTGCGCTGGACTCGCCCGGCCCGCTCGCCCACCGACTGCAGGTCCCGCTGCAGATCGTCGAAGATGTCGCTGGCGATGAGCACCAGGCTGGCGAGCTGACGCAGGGCATTGCTCAGGGTGATGTTGCTGATGGAGTCGAACTCGTGGCCGGAGACGACCTTCGAGGAGCCGGCGGTGGGCGAATGGGGGGCGCTGGCATTCCGCGCCATCGTCGGACGCTGCTGGCTGGGGTGCCGCGAATTGGGCAGCGACTGGGAGGCACGACCCGGGCCGTGCGTCGGCGAGGTCGACAGGAATTCCACGTGCTGCTTTAGCTTCTTCATGGGCAGGGCTGCTGGGGGCTGGGGCTGGGGCTGACCGGCTCCGTCCTCCCCATCGCCGTTCACGTGCACCAGCATTCGGGTCAGCGAGGGCGAGGTGGGGGAGGTGGCCCGGCAGTCGGCGACATCCGTTCCCGCCTCTGGCGACTGCTTGTTGATGCAGTTGTTGTTTTTGCACTTGCCGGGCGCACAGTGGAAGCGTGTGGAGGCATGCCCAAGGCTGGCGGCAGTGGCCTGGGCCACATTCACGGGTTGCACCACGCGCTGTACGAAGGGCATCTCTTAGCTGCTGATGCTCCTCCTCCTCCTCCTCATTGACTTGGGGCACTGTTCACGTACGGATCGGGCACTAGATTCATACCACACACACACGAACACTATCTCTGCGTCTGCCTTTAAGCCAAAAAAAACAAAAAGAGGGAGCGAGACGCACACAAACACACAGACAGACAGAGAGCAGGGCAGGGGAACTGGTCAAACAACTTCTGGGCTTGAATCCTCCACAGCTTCTCAGTGGTCTCCTCTGCTCCTATACCTATTGTTGTCTGTTTTCGGCTCTCGGCCGCCGCATAAATTCCTTTGCTTTTGGCCGTTTTCTGTGGCTGCGCTGCTGCTGTTGCATACGCACACAAACTAGTTGGTCGCTTGGGGCAACGCTGCTGCTGCTGCCTGGCACTGGTTTAATTGAAAGCAAGCCGGGACCGGCGTTTGGGACAACACTGTGAACTGGTTTATGCTCTGCACTTTACACCGCATTATGCATTAACGTGGTCTGAACCGACAAACACAACCAACCAACTGACACGCCGAACACGATTTTGTAATAATTACGTTTTTATGGGCTTTTACGCTCTTTATGGCCGGTACGTACGCGTGTTCCCCGCTCATTCGCAACTTTCAAAAGGTGTGGACGAAATCAAGACCGATAACAATCCGCGCGCACGTCTTGCTCGTTCGCCGGTCAAAATTTAGTGATGAGCCCGGAAGGCGGTAGAGCTGCACAACCTTCGATAGTACTTTCGATACATTGATGTTTTGCTCACTATCGGTGGAATATTGATCACTATCGATCAAATGATAGTATCGGGGAAGTACGCGATATTTGTCGATAGCTGACTTTGACAACCCTGGCCACATACGGTCACACTATAAAAAAATTTACAAATAAATAAAGCGAAAATATTGCATTTGTTTGATAAAGTAGAATAAACCAAAGAAAAATTGGTCTGAAAACAAAGCAGCAGCATGCCCAAGTACTACTGCGACTATTGTGACACCTACCTGACGCACGACTCGCCCTCGGTGCGAAAAACACACTGCACGGGCCGCAAGCATCGCGACAATGTGAAGTTCTACTACCAAAAGTGGATGGAGGAGCAGGCGCAGCATCTCATTGATGCCACCACGGCGGCATTCAAGGCCGGCAAGATAACGAACAATCCGTTTGCTGGCGGACCCTCATCGGCACCGCCCAAGCCATCGGGCGTTTCGATACCACCGCCCAATATGGGTGCGCCGCCACGTCCTGGCATGCCCGGCATGCCGTTTATGCCGCCCATGATGAACCCCATGATGACTGGCATGCGTCCGCCGCCCATCATGAATCCCATGGCCATGATGGGTCCACCACCGCCGCTGGGCACCATTCCGGGTGTCCGTCCGCCCATCATGAATGGACCAAAGTGACAAAAACGCGACCTGCCAGAGCACAGTCAAGATCATCGGCATTAATTAAGGACTAGAGCATAAGTAAACCTCAATTGCAAAATACTAAATAAATACATATTTAAATGTACTTTTATGTGAAACAGATACATAAATCGTGTAATTTTGCCAGCAAACTGAATCAACAAACAAAAACCTTTCAATTAACATAGTAGACATTCAGACATATACGCTTTTATTACAATTTGGACTTATGAGCTACATTAAGAGGAATAGAATATAATGTGATTATAATTGTTAGAGTAGTGTGTGTTTACCGTAGGGTGGAAGTGTTCTATTAGGGTTAGGGGTCACCTTTCCATTGCCTTCGATTGTGTGCGGCTCAACCGGTGTGAGCCCAACAACATCGTCATTAAACTTAAGAAAATTAGGTACCAGGGATACAATTGTTTGCCGGAACAGATCAGATCAGATCGGTTATCTGGACATTCTTTGGCGTTTGCTGGGCGACACCAGCACCTGCGTTGGCTGATGCGTGCCTGAGATAGCATCGAATATGCTCGTCTCCGAGCGCTGGTACTCGCTGCCAATTTTCTCCAGATTCAAGTCGGCGTCCAGCACCAACACCTGAAACATCAGAAAATAGATTCTACATTCAAGCATCTGTCGTGCATCTGTGGTCAGAATATTGTCACTTACCTTGCAGGCCTGCGTACGGCGGTGATGTATGAGCCAATCCTCGTGCAGTTCGTGCAGCTCCTGGAGATACTTGAGCGGCACACAGCTCTCCTCGGATCGGGCACGTTGTCGGATGCGTTCGTGCGCCACTTCCGGGGATGTTCGCAAGTAGATAATGAGATCGGCCTGCACGTGTATGGAATCCTCGATGAACTTGTACCATTCCTGCAGCGTGTTGTACATGCCCGCCTCCAGCGAACCATTGCGATACATATTCTCCACAAAGCAGTACCTAAGGCGAGATGGTTAAAACCGGATCTATGGCGTGAGGGGTAGCGGGGCGCGGGGGGTGCGGACTTACCGGGAGCTAAAAATGGAGCGCTCCATTATTTTTAGCTTCTTGTCGGTGGGAGCTGTGTGCGCCTGCAGCATGGTCAGTGTGACATAAGACTGAAAGGGCATTGCCCACTTCTTGGGCTCCTTGTACATCAGCTCCAGCAGATTGACGCCGTTCACGTTGCGCCACTTCTCCACGGGCTCCGTCAGCAGGCAGATATCGTCCTTGTACTTCTCAAAGTGATTCAGATAGGTGGTCTTGCCGCTGCCGATGTTGCCCTCGATGAGCACCGTGAAGGGCTGCGTGCCCTCGGCGAACTTCTTTCCCTGCCTTGCGCTGGTGGCTGCTATGGACATCATGGCAGACAAACCTCGATCTGCACGTGAAAAACAGTGGGGGATTGAGTTCTCAATTGTGATGCTGTATTTTTTGTGTTGCTGTGGCTGTGGCCAGATCACGATTCGCGTCAAGAAAAAGCCACTGTACTGTACTGTGCGACTGGTCGAGTAAAACTAACCACCAACAGATCGTCTTTTGCCGCCGAAAAGACACAAAAGGGCGGGAAAGCAGCCATTGGATTATTTTTTTTGGTTGCCATCACCAGCTGATGGCTCGGAGTGGAGTAAGGGGTAGGAGTTGATTCGGGTCTAACAAAAATCGTAGCTTATGGACCTTAATTAAATGACCAGTCTTAGTTACCAATAAACCGGATAATTCCCATTTATTGTAATGCGATGTAATTAGGGAATGCCAATGAAGCACACAGATGATCTACATCCGATAGGATGGATATAAAAGCATCTATGTAATACAGGTACTCAAATGCCAACAGATTGAAGCAAAACTCGTTGTTTTTTTTATAGTACACGGTTTTAATTTCACAATAAATGCATTTATGCACATTTTAGGAATAAACAGCTGACTAATCGATAGGCGAGCTTCTAACTATTGCATTCAAATTCTGATTACTTACAGCTGTTGCCGGCAAAGTTATCGGCCGCTATTCTCATCTCCAAGACGCATTTTTATCAACATTTTCAGAAAACTGTAAATAAAACAGCAAACTGATTTTAAACGGACTCCATTTCGTTTGACACTTCTGCAGCATGTCTATTGAAATCGAATCAGCCGAGTGAGTACACAAAAGGTGCCCAGCGTGTCCTGCATGTCTCATTTGCCTTCCCCACCCACCCCATACAGCGTGATTCGGCTTATACAGCAATATCTCAAGGAATCCAATCTTATGAAGACGCTGCAGACCCTGCAAGTGAGTACGAGTCCCCCAGCTCAATCAAATTAAAGCAATAAAGTTCCCGTACCGCAGGAGGAAACGGGCGTCTCCCTAAACACAGTGGACAGCGTGGATGGCTTCGTCCAGGACATCTCCAATGGCCACTGGGACACGGTGCTGAAGGTGACGCAATCGCTGAAGCTGCCCGACAAGAAACTGCTCAATCTCTATGAGCAAATCGTGCTGGAGCTGATAGAACTGCGCGAGCTGGGTGCCGCCCGCTCCTTGTTGCGGCAAACGGATCCCATGAGCATGTTGAAGCAGCAGGAGCCCGAGCGGTACATTCATTTGGGTATTCTCTTGGATTTTGTGTTGCTCGGATAAACGTTTATGTGCGGATCTTTTGCAGAGAACATGTTGCAGCGAGCATACTTCGATCCCCGCGAGGCGTATGCGGAAGGCAGCAGCAAGGAGAAGCGCCGCACGGCCATCTCCCAGGAGCTGAGCGGTGAGGTGCATGTGGTGCCATCGTCCAGGCTCTTGGCCTTGCTTGGCCAAGCCCTGAAGTGGCAACAGCATCAGGGACTCCTGCCGCCCGGCACCACGATCGATTTGTTCCGCGGCAAGGCGGCAATGAAAGACCAGGAGGAGGAAATGTATCCCACACAGCTGTTCCGGCAGATCAAGTTCGGCCAAAAGTCGCACGTGGAGTGTGCACAATTCTCGCCCGATGGCCAGTACCTGATAACTGGCAGTGTCGACGGTTTCCTGGAGGTGTGGAACTTCACCACTGGCAAAGTGCGAAAGGACTTGAAATACCAGGCGCAGGATCAGTTCATGATGATGGAGCAGGCTGTTCTAGCTTTGAGTTTCTCGCGCGATTCGGAAATGGTGGCTTCGGGTGCCCAGGATGGCCAGATCAAGGTGTGGCGCATCATCACCGGCCAATGCCTGCGGAAGTTCGAGAAGGCCCACACCAAGGGCATCACCTGCCTGCAGTTCTCCCGCGATAACAGCCAAGTGCTGAGTGCCTCCTTTGACTTCACGGTGCGACTGCACGGCCTGAAGTCGGGCAAGATGCTCAAGGAGTTCAAGGGCCACTCATCGTTTGTCAACGAGGCCACATTTACGCCCGACGGCCACAGCGTACTCAGCGCCTCCTCCGATGGCACTGTCAAGGTTTGGTCCCTCAAAACCACAGAGTGCGTCGCCACCTACAAACCGCTGGGCAATGAGCTGGCGGTCAACACTGTCCTCATCCTGCCCAAGAACCCCGAGCACTTTATTGTCTGCAACAGATCCAACACGGTGGTAATCATGAACATGCAGGGCCAGATTGTGCGCTCATTCTCGTCGGGTAAGCGCGAGGGTGGAGCCTTCATCTCGGCTACGCTGTCGCCGCGCGGCGAGTTCATCTACTGTGCTGGCGAGGATCAGGTGCTCTACTGTTTCTCCGTCTCCTCCGGCAAACTGGAACGTACCTTGAATGTGAGTTTTTACCTGGCATGTGACACTCGTTGCTGGTCTCTAATGATATCTAATACTATCTTTTAATAGGTTCATGAAAAGGATGTCATTGGCCTGTCCCATCATCCGCATCAGAATCTTCTGGCCAGCTACAGCGAGGATGGACTGCTGAAGCTGTGGAAGCCATAGATCATCTAAGCTAAGCGTTTGCCCCATTGACTTTCTTTCATATCTAGTTTTAGTTGCAAAATACACCTACTGCCCCCCGATTACGATTACTTTAAGTTTCGAGGTGTTTTCTTGGATTTTCTCTTGCCCCACCGCCCTCCCGCACATCAATATCTTCAATCATGTCTCTATATAAAACAAATTGACTTTAATTAAGCATTATGCAAAGCGACGACGAGCAGGGCCCTAATCCGCAGAGCACAGAGTTTGCCTCAATTGCTGGCCTCAGCGCTTAAATTAGTCGAGCAGCCACGCTCAACGGGTACACAGTCCCCCAGTCAGCATGAAGAGCGACGAGATCATTGATAAAATACGCAACAAGCTGAAGGAATCGGACCCTGGCCGGCGAACTGTCGTCAACACGTTTCAGTTCAACTTCACCGATGCCGACGGCAAGCTCATCAAGAGCATGGGTGAGTGAGTGCTGGACCATGGGTCGTGAATCCTCGTTGACCGTCTCACTGTAGTCTTTGATTTCAAAGCATTGAACATCTATGAGGGCAGTGCGGCCAGTGCCGATGCACAGGTTACCATATCCGATGAGGATTTCTATCTGGTGGGCACCAAACAGAAGACTTTTCAGGAGATTTTACAGCAGGACAAGGCAAAAATCGAAGGCGATGACCAGGCAATCAACAAAATGTTGGAGAAATTTCGCATAAATTCGCAGAATTAATTGGAATTACCATGCCATCTAAAATCATATACATTAAATGCGTTTTTGTATTCATTTTAACATATAATCCCAGCACTATAATGTTCCTTCCTGCTGTCAAGTACTCTGTAACGATATCAATCGTAATTCTATTTACCAACAATATTGCAAAATAAACATTTTTTTAATATTAATAATACAGTTGAATCAATAATGCCTTTCGGTGGAAAGACAAAACCATTTGGCATTATTCCCCCGCCCCCGCTTGCATACTCAGTGATTGAAATATTACTTAAAGATTTTGAAATTCAATTGGTTTTATTATTCATTTATTTAATTACCTTTATTTATATTTAATGTTAACATGGAATTGTTTTTGTAGGTGTTTCCTTTTAATTTGAAATTTTTGGTTTCTTTGGCGTATTATTTATTATTTTCCAACTATTGTTGGAAACTATTTGTTGTTGTTATTTGGCAAAGACGCAACGTTTGGTGCCAATGGGTGTGCGCCTGAGATTCTGAATTTGATTTCTGACTGCCTGTATCTGGTCTCGGATTCGGATTTGAATACTGTTTTGGATTCATCTGTGTGTGTTCCTTGCCCTGCCTGTGGCTTACTTTTAGGTTTAATTGTAAATTTAACATTTGCTCATTTTGGGGGTGTTTTAATTTAACTTTTTGTGTTACTTTACTTTAGTAAACGTTTTGTTTTTAGTCTTAAAACATTTTTTTCTTGGGGGTAGTTTCTTTTGGCGCTTGCTTGCTTGTTCGAACATTTTATTTGCATTTTCATTAGTTTCTCTGCTTTAGTACTATTTCATTTTTTAAATTTATTTTTAATTTTTATTGCTAAAACACAAATTCCGATTTTGTTTATTAACTAATTGAATTGTTGGTTTTTGGGTTTGTTCTCCTTTTTTTTTTTTAAATATTTGGTTTTATGCAATACAACAACAAAATTTGTACACTTAAACTAAATTTGTTTTTTATATGAATTATTTCTTAGGACTTACTTGATCATTATGCTTTTTCTTTATGCAACAATTTAACAACGTTTTACTTCATCAAGGTAATTGTATTTACTTTCTGTTTTACTCATTAATTATTTATTTTTGGTTTTATTTGTATTAATTTAGCATTTGTAACACCTACATACGTTTATTATAAATGGTTTTTTTACGTTAAACGGTTTTAAGTTTCCTTCGCTGATTTAAGCCATTTTCATTAATTTCGAAAGTTTTCTGTTGCAAAACGTACGTGCGCTATGAAACCAATACTTATTCATTTTATTTTACGAAACATTAGAGGGAATTTACTATCGATTGAGAGCTCCAAAATGGAGGAAACAGACTGAACTGAAAACCGTAAAATATACGCTGAAATAATTACAATACAATAAAATAACACTATAATATAATAATAATTGTTGATAAACGTTTGCTAAATCTTGATTTGGCGCAAAAGTAAATTAAATTGAAATTGATTCCTCGATTTTGTATTTGTGTTTAGTTCATTTTTGTTTAGTTTCTTGTATAATTTACTTTATTATTATCGTTCCCTTTAGCGTATACATTTTTATAAATATTTTCTTCGCCTTAAATGTTTATAAAAATGTGCTTAAATAGACAAAAATCTTTTTCCCGAATTTATCCCGTTTCTCCAACCCATTTTTCATTTTCGTTTATCGAATCCATTTTTTTTTTTTTACCATTTTTTGGGAGCCGCTAATTAATGTTTTTATTTAATTTGCTTCGCTTATAAACTCCTCGATCTAGCTTTATTTAACTCTGCGCTTTTATTCTTTGCTGGAAGATACGGTTTTGATAGTCACTAATTCTTTTATTTATGCATTTTTCGCTCCTCTCGCCTCTGCGGTTTTTATTATTATTTTTTGTATTTGTTTGTTTGCTTGTATGTTTGATTTGTGTGTTGGCTTCAAGTGTCGAAGATTTGTTGTACGTACAAAAATGTGTAAATAAGGAGTCATGTCATGCGCATATGATTAGGTAGTTAATTATTATTGTTTTATGCCCTTTAGTGTGTGTTTTTGCTGCTGCTGCCTCTATTCTGTATTGGTTTATCTATCGGTTCGCGAGAATGTGTATTCATTTATTTTGCGCTTACGCTCATCGTCATCGTCTCTCGCATTTGTTGTATAATTAATTCAATTTATGCTTCACCTAAATATTACTCGTATCAAATATAAAAATCAACAACTTTATTTATTATTTTTTTGTTTTTTTGTTTGTTTTTGGTTTTCCCCTTGTCTGCGGTCTCTTGTGGCTATGAAAATGATCGTACTTCCGGCACTTCAACTTCTTCTTCTACTTCTCGCTTTTTACACTCTCCGCCACCCGTCTGCGCTGTTTCACATCCTCTTGCCATACATATTTCGCTATGTGTATAATATAATATATTTAAATGTAGCTATTATTTTTTTTGTTACTTCATCCTTTCATCCTTCGCTTTTTTTTCTGCTATTGAAACGCGCCCGGCTAATCGTGTTAATCGCAACTACAATATGTTCGCCCTACTGTACTTATTTAGCGTCCATCGTTTTGCTATCTTCCTCTTCATCCACTAATTCCTACTTAGTCCTTCGCGCTTGGCTTGCTCATTAAATTTATGTCTTAATCAATTCGCATTTTTGCATAATTTCTTGTCTTTTAGGTATTGTTAACTTTTGAATTACTGTTTCTGTTTCAGTATCTGTTCTGTCCAGTTATCGTTTATCTTGTCCTTCGTCTGACCACGTGTGTACCAGTGTGTGTGTGTGTGTACTATATGTAAAACTACTTCACTTGCTCTGCAAAGTTGCTCTGCTCTGCTCTGTTCTGTTCGCCAATTACCTAGTTAGCCTTAGTCTAAATGCGTCTTAAAACCGAAACTGAAAGTCACGATAAAAATGCCTAAAAATGCTCTAAACCATCGTTAAACGTTTGCCATTTGGTTGACATGATCAATGTTGTCCTCATCGAAATGCACATCGTTGATGAATATGTCAGCGACCAGATCGTCCTCATCCAAGTCCATATCATCATCGTCGTCATCCTCCCCGTTGGACATCAGGCCGTGTCCCATGTCCACACCGGCAATGCATATGTGTGGCGGCGGTGGCACACTCGTGGGCGGCAATGGGGCGGGTGGTATGATCAGGTTACCGCTATTAATGCCATGCAAACTGCCCGCTATACTAGCCCCGCCACTCTGCAAATGCCTCCGACTGGAGCTGAGACCCGCTGCAAAGCAAATGGAATTAATTTAGCGCTGCCAAATATGGAGAATGAAAAGTTCTTAAATCAAACAAATTACCTGGCAACTAAAAAGACTAAAAGAGGAAAACCAAAATCAAAATCAAAGAAAACCTTAGAAAAGCACAAATCAAACAAAACATATGTGGTTAGTCCCTACGAAAGGGATTTCTGCACTCCCCCAGCTTACCCGTGGCACTGGTCTGTGAGTCGTAGTGGGCATTCCGATGCAGCCCCAATTGTCGCACATGGTTTCTACGGTTTCTTCTGGAGTGACAGAGTGTGCATAGGAGACAGATTAGGGACAAGACGACGATTAGTGTTATTATAATTAGAACGTCGTGATCCGCCTCGGCCGCTTCCGTGGTACCTGTTTGCATTATTTATGGTGGATGGGGGAGAGCAAGAGCATAGAGAAGATCATTTGTTAAGCGATATACGGGAATACTTCAATATAATTTAGTATTAATATTAGGTATGTTTAGGTGTGGGTGTGTGTGTGTGGATTTCTAGTTTTGTGTGTGTGTGTGTGTGTTCATGTGGTGAGTCCGAACATGATGTTCTTGTTCTCTTGTGTGGATGTGTCTGTGCAGTGGATTCCTTTAGACATTCCTTTAGATTTAGAGTTAGCTTAGAACAGTTTAGAATACTCGGTTCAGTTTATCATAAATGGGCACCAGGAAGATATATTTTAACATACATAAATCTGTGCATCTATGCAGTGAGGAATTGAGCGGAAAGGTGCAGAGAACATAAAGAAGCCAGAACAAAAGAGGGAAAAAATCACATGCCATGAACAAAATAATTCTGAGCAAATCAACACTCTCACAATGCGCTCGGTAAATGTTAACTGAAATGTGCAACAAAACAGAAACTTCGGTATGGGCACGGATGATCTCTGCTTTAGACAATCTACCAGGGTTTGGGGGGCTTGTTCTAGGTGGGTTCTGGTGAAACATTAGTTGGATTGAATACTGTGCATGTCATGAGCTTTGTGGCTTTTGTGGGCGTGTCGTGACGTGGCGTGGATTGAACGTGGACGTGTTTAACGATTGGTAGGTAGGTAGACAAGCTTATGCAGAACTCACGTGTTAAATGTGACCAGAGAGAGAGAGAGAGTATTTCTTTTTTGTATTAACTTAGGCATAGATTAGAGTTAATATTTGGTTTTGGTTCGCTTCATATGTTGTTATAAAAAATGAGTAAAAATTCTTGCTAGCAGAATGTTTTCATTTATGTTTAGGTTTTTGCTTCTTCTTTTTTATCATTGTTTTTTGTTTGTTTTTGTTTTGATTCTCGTGGCAATTGCAATTCCGATTTAAAAATTTTGATTTTTTTTTTACTAATTCTCAGGGTTTTTATATTTCTTTTTTTTTTTTTTTTTTTAGTTGTACGTATTTAACACTAATGCCATAATTGTTAAAACAAGTGTCTGTAGAAATGTGGGCAGATGCGTGGAATTGGCGTCACCTGTGCCACCAAGGGTTTTGTTGGGGGTTTCGATTTCAAATATTAATACAGATGTTTTTTTTTTTTTTTGTTATTTGATTTCGTTTGTTAGTGAAGACAAAAGAAAAAAGAACAGAGAGAGAAATATAGGTAGAATTAGACAAGTAGTAGGAGAGAGAGAGAGAGAGAGAGAGAGAGAGAGAAAGTGAGAGTTTTAGTGCGGGCTGTGGACAGCGACTGAAAGCGAGTGGTGTGGATTGTGTTCGAGTGTGTGAATACTGCCACCAAGTGGAAGAGATTGAATTAGATATAGAGAGTGAGATGTATGCATGGGTGGCTGGTGGGTTGGTGGGTTGGTGGGTGGGGAAGCTTGATCGTGGCGCACCCTAAACTATTATCCGGGAAGTATGTACAAAAGTCTGGCCATTGAAATGAATAAGAAAACAAAACAAAAACAGCTAGTAAAAAGATTGAGGACAAAATACGAGTA